TAGATTCTAAGACACAATCAGAGAGGCCTAACAAGTGTAGGTACGTCTTCAGTTTTATTTGTTTTGTAATAATTGTGAACGTAGTTCTCTGAGGCTTTCCCTATGTAAACTTGAGCCACTCCTCTGTACTCTTCCTTTTCTTCTTCTTTATCTTAGCACATAGTCTTCTACATACTATATGCTGTATTTATTTGTAAGCTATCATTTCTCTTGCTGCTAAACAGAAAGACCCAAGTTAGCAAGCAGCAGATATTTGTGTTTTTTGTTCTCTGCTACATTTTTGGTGCCTGAGAGATTTGAGGATAGTATAGGTTTAAGTCCACAGCCTCAGTAATTAGAAAGAAGCTGCTTCAGTTTAGAAAAGAAAAAAATTTTTTTCATGGTAGAATTTTGCTGTTTCTTTTTTATTTCTAATACCGTATAGGAGCTTTGTGGTATTTAGTGTAGAGCCTTTCCAAAGTCCCTGGGTTTGATCCTGAGTATACAGCATACACACACGTACATGCACACGCACACACGTATGTGTGTGTATGTATATGTACACACATGAGAGAGTTAGAACAAATATGCTTTTATTCTTTTTTTATACTATGAAATAGACTAGATAAAGGTAGAATTCAAATGCATTGTGGTCAGAGGGGGAAACAGGGAGGGTAGGATAGGGGACAAATAAGAACAAAGTATCAAAATGTCACAGTGAAACCCATTTCTTTGTGTGTCAATCAAAAAAGTTAATAAAGCACACACACAACCCTTGAATACAACAGAGCAACATTCTCTGAAGAGGATCTTTATGCCTCTCTGCAGCCTTTCAAAAAGGTCCTCAGCCAACCTACTATGTGAGCTTCATGTTGTTCATTCTCTGTATCTTAACCACTTTCTAAACCACCGTAATTAAAAATACTGTATTTTTTTTCTTTTTTCTTTTTTTGGTTTTTCGAGACAGGGTTTCTCTGTGTAGCTCTGGCTGTCCTGGAACTCATTCTATAGACCAGGCTGGCCTCGAAATCCACCTGCCTCTGCCTCCCAAGTGCTGGGATTAAAGGCGTGTGCCACCACCGCCCGGCAAAAATACTGTATTTTTAAAATTTGTTGCTCAGTATCTCATTGGGTAATTCCTAAAATTCCTTTAATAACATAGTTATAAAGAATTATAGTCTTTTGCTGGGCATGGTTTAGTACAACTTTAATTCCAGCACTTGGGGAAGCAGAGGCAGGTGGATCTTTGTGAGTTCCAGGATAGTCAGAGCTATCTAGGAAGACTCTGACTCAAACAAAAATAATAATTATTATAGTATTTTATTTTGTTATGACTCATTAAGTTATGTTTGTTCTGGATTTTAAACAGCTTTGCTTCATTTTTTTGTTTGTTTGTTTTGTCTTTTATACTCATCTGTATCTATGGTGTATTCTATATAGCATAGATCTCATGTATACCAGGCTGGCCTCCAACTCCATCTGTAACTGAGACGAGGCTGGCCATGAACTTGTGATCTGCTTGCCTCTACTTCCCTAGTCTGATGAATATAGCCATGCATTACCACACCTGATTTTTTTTTTTTTTGTTTGTTTGTTTGTTTGAGACAAGTGTCACTCTGTATAGCCATGGCCAGCCTAGAACACACTATGCAGAGCAAGTTGTCTTTGAACTCACAGAGATCCACCTGTCTTTGTCTCCTGAGTACTGGGATTCAAAGCATGCACCATCAGGCCCAGTCAGGTATATATTATTTAACTCTTAAAATTATTTTTTCAAACATTTACTTTTCTCCTTTTTCCTACAGGAGCTGCTGCTCAAGAAGTTATCAAAATAATCACCAAACAATTTGTAATTTTTAATAATACTTATATTTATAGTGGTATGTCACAGACTTCTGCAACTTTCCAGTTGTAGAATAAGCACTATGTGTAATATATTAATGGTTGAAACTGTAATTGTCTTCATATTGTGCTTTAAATTTGTAAAAATCTGTTGAAGGACAGAAGTTAAATTGTTTCCTTAATAAAAGTTTTTCTCATTTGTAATATAGTCTTGTTGTTTGGGATGGTGGGAAGAAAGCAGTCAGTTACCTGAAGAATAAAAGCTAGCTCTTTGTAATTTAGCTCATTAATACTGATTTTTTATTTTATAGTTACATATCATAGATATGTCTGTTTCACTAAAGAGAGTAAACAAATTAATTGTCTTAATGAATTTAAGATATAAATTTTAGCTGTGGACATTTTAAGATCATCACTTGGTAAAATAGAAGTTTAAAAGAAGCATTTCTGGAGTTTTATCAGAAAACAAAACCATTCCCTTGTGGTGTCATTTATTATATATACCTAAAGGTTTCCCACTATGCCTACGTATTGAAATTTTTTGGGGTTGCCCCATCCATACATTTCATTTTTTATTGAATAATCATATTGGAATAATAGCATTTACCAGCATGTTAGATGGGAAAGAAAATTCCTTAAGGTGAGGAATAGTAGCAAACTAGAAATTCAGAAATGGGAGCAGAGCCCAGTGTCTGACTTAAGTATGGATGGCTGAGTGTGTTAATGTATCTTAAGTATCTTAAGGCCCTAAATTGCCTGCTATAGAATAGTTATCAAAGGCAGTCTTGAATGTGAGAACCTGTGTTTTATTTGACAAGAGATGGGGGACGGGCTCATAGGGATTTTATTTCTTGGATACCAGTGTGTCATTCTTGCGTGGCTGTGTCTACTTTATCAAGTGACTTTCCCACAGCAGGGACTACTCTCTGACAGTACTATCTCCCAACATTCCCGTGGGATGGATTCTGTTAGGAAGCATGACATGACTAATTTTATACGAGGGTACACCTTGATCATATTTACGACTCAGAGAGCTCTGGTTCTTGGGTCTACTCAATGAGAAACTGGCTTGGCCAGAACCAAAATTTAAGGTTTTTGGAGTTCACACAGTGAGGGTGTCCAGTCAATGGAATGTGGCCAGCGTAATCAAAGAAAGCCTGGCGTCGCACAAGGTCAGGAGGGAGCAAAGACCCTTCCAAGACACAAGTCCTAAATGCTGAGGTTATATTACCTTCAAATTGTAACTTTCTCCCGTCTGAAACACCCGCACTGGCTACCTTCTGCCCTCTGAACATGCTACAGATGTTAAGAGGTTAGCTCGGTGTGACAGGTGTTCGGCCGGAAGTCCCGCCCAGCGGATGTGAGCCTGCCTCGCGCGGGGTGGGAAACCCAGTCAGGCGTCGTGGTCTAGGCTGCCGCAGGGAAGAGCTGGTGCAGGCCTGACAAGGCTCTCGGTCCCGGGTGGAAAGGCCACGGCGGCCTCCGCTTCCCGGGTTTCAGGTCTTGCCTCAGCTCGGTCCAGCCTTGCCTGTTGCCTCCGGGGCAGAGCTATGGTGCTGGCGTGGCCCCGCTTCACTGGCTCACCTGAGGAGACGGATTGAGCTGAGGGGCAAGGGCTTTCCTGACGCAGTGGCCACGGCCTGTGTGGGGAAAGGTCGTCAGAGTCTGATTGCTCGGACGGTTGTGTGCGTCCGCGCTGCTCCGGGTGATTCTGGTGTTGGGAAGGTGTCGCGTCCACAGTGAGAAAGAGGACGGGACCACGTGTCCAGCAGCAGCTGAAGCGCCAAAGTTGGCAACCCGGGGATTGCTCCCGGGAGGTCCGCGAGCCGGGCTCGGGAGCAGTGCATGGTGCCCTGCGGAGAGCTGTGGAGGAACGTCTTGGGCCAGCCGCCCTCCTGACAGGAGTTCTTTCAGCATTTTAGGTGAGCCAGGCCTGCGTAGCCTTGAGCGAGAGCGAGGGTGTAGGGCGAGGGAGCCTTAACCCAAGGAACAAGGATGGACCCAGAGCCTGTGAGGCCGGAGCCTGTGAGCCCGGGTGAGCCGTGAGGGTGTGGTCCCCCACATCCTATCCATCCCGTAGAACAGCTGGTTTCTGTTACCCTCCTTATTTTCTGGGACCTGAATGACTTATTTCACACTCCCTTTAAGCTATCCTAACAGAAAGTTGATAGTGCAAGTTACATGCTTGCCTTTTTGCTCACGTTAGAGGATGCCTTCCACAAATACAGGATTCGAAGGCAGATGGACATCCACCTTGAACGACTTATGGGTGGCAGTTAATGCTAGGATTTTTCAGCTGTGCCAGCCCTACTCAGGAAGATATTTGTCTATCATGGAGGAAGGGGGATATGTAGCTTTTGTTTTTTCCACAAAGCTTTTGATGTGACCGTTTTTAGAGTAGCAAATTTCAGAGGCTGGGTGTGTTCCTTAATGATAGATTCTACCTTAAGTCCCATCCCCAGGACCAAAGAGGTGTGCAATAATCAGATAGTTTTCTTATTTATGTTTTCTGTTAGTTTTCCTAGGTACATTTGCCCTTGACTTTATTGGTTTGGAGAGTAAGTTGAATAAAACCTGTAAGGTTGTGTGTCCTGTTATGTGAAAAGTTCCCCATCCCCATCCCCACCCCCACCCCTACCCCTGTGAAAACAGGGCAAAAAATTTTACAATCTCATTGTCAGTGATAATTTGTATCCACAAAACATCTGAAAACATTTCATAATTGCTTGATTTGGCACATACTTTTGACTTGGGAAGTGAGCTATTTTTAAGTTTAAGTATAATTTTATAATTATTTAACCTTTTGAAAATGACAGCTGGACCTTTACTGCAGATATTTATTTTAATTACATCTATTTGTGTATGTATATGTATGTGCGTGCATGCGTGTGTGTGCCTGTGCATGTATGGGTTAGCACATGTGTGGTTGAGAGTCTGTTTTTGCCTACTATGTGGATCCCAGGGATTGTCCCTCCTGTGTTTGTGTTTGTTTGCTTGTTTTGAGACAGTCTTTCTTCTTATCTTCTCCTTCCTTCTTCCCTACCCCCTCTTTCTTTTCTGGAACTTTCAATGTAGCTCAGAATGGCTTCAAACTCATGACCCTTCTTCCACTCCCTTTCTTGCCTGAAGATTACAGACATGCATCATCATGCCCAGAATATTTCATTCTTTAAATTTTTTAAAACATGGACTGCTTCATGAATTTGTGTCTTATTCTTGTGAAGGAGCCATGTTAATCTTCTCTGTATCATTCCTGTTTTAGAATATGTGCTGCTGAAGCAAGCATATGGTCCAGAATATTTCCTAGAAGCTGATCTAACTAAAAATGCCCTATCTTACAGATGAAATATAAGGGAAAAAGACAAGCATGGAAAGTGAGAATCCAAAGAAAACACAAGGTGAGAAATCATGAATCATGTAGTTACATTAGTTTTATGTATTTTATAGTTGTATAATTGTGTGTGTGTGTGTGTATGTGTGTGTGTGTAATATCTCAGTAGCATCTAGAAAACAAAAGAATCATTTATCAACTTATATATATGTTCTATGACATTCTGAGGGGACATGAACAAACATCTACTTATCCCAGATAGGGATTTGCCAACAGGCCAAAGAAAGGATACCAAATCCAAGTTGGTAAGCCAGTTACCTTACTGGGGCTACACACAAAGCATATGAATGAGGACTTATTTGCAGAAGCAGAAATGACTCAAAGGCAGCTGTATCATCAGAAGCCTACCCCAGCTCATGAAAGCTGAGAAACTGGAACACATAGTACAACCTGCAAGCAGCTTAACAGGTTGGAAAGTATCTCTTTCAGGCTGCTTAGTTGTTTTCTGTCTCTTCCAGACAGTTTAGTTGGTCTAAGCCTTTTCAAAGGAATTCTTTTGGTTTGAGAGTGTTTCTCAGCAGTTCTTACCTCTTATATATGAGGAGGGAGGGGCCTAACACATCAGATTAGTTTCAGGGACTTCCTGAAGCTTCTAAGTTGCCTACTTCCTAACTATTAAGGAGCCTTGTCCTGGTTTTGTTTTGTTTGAGATAGGGTCTCTTAATGTAGTTTTACCTGACCTTGAACTCACTATACAGACTAAGCTTGCTTTGAATTCACAGTCACAGTGATCCTTCTGCCTTTGCCTCCCTAATACTGGGATTAAAGGTATGCACCACCATCCTTTGTCTTAATGAGCTTCCTTGCAAGATGGTATATATTAACTTAAAGGAAAATAATATATCATAGCATACGTATTGAACACCTGCTTTGTGCCTGTCTTAGTTAGGGTTTTACTGCTGTGAACAGATAAGGCAACTCTTATAAGGACAACATTTAATTGGGGCTGGCTTACAGGTTCAGAGACTCAGTCCATAATCATCAAAGTGGGAGCATGGCAGCATCCAGGCAGGCATGGTACAGGAGGAGCTGAGGGTTCTACATCTTGTTCTGAAAGCAAACAGGAAAACTCTTACAGACAGCTTGGACAAGGGTTATTAAAACCTATAACACAGTTACACATCTACTCCAACAAAGTCACACTTTCTAATAGTGCCACTCCCTGGGCCAGGCATATACAAATGATCACAGTGTCTATAATATAATTTCTGACATCAGAAATTATGGGAAAGTCATGCCATATGAGCTGGGCATGGTGGCTCATGCCTTTAATCCCAGTACTCATGGTGCAGAGACAGGCAGATCTCTGAATACAAGGCCTGCCTACTTTATATATTTCTAGGCCAGCCAGGACTACATAGTGAGACTCTACTTGAAATAATAATAAAAAAAATCCATATGATAGTAGATTTATTGGCAGAATATAAAAGACATCCTTAGACATGGTGACTCACTGTTGCAAGGGTACTGTCATAAATGTAGATGAATATGTTTGTTTCTGTCTACAATGTCAAAATTGGTTTTTATTTTGTGTCAGGCTTTCATGTAGTCTAGGCTGGTCTCAAGCTCAGTATGTGGCACAGGATACCACACTTCTGGTCTTCCTGTTCCCGAGTCCCCAGTGCTGGGGTTATAGGCATTTGCAGTAATGCCTGGTTTATGAGCTGCTGGAGATTGAAGCTGGAGCTTTGTTGGTGCTAGGCAAGCACTTTACCAATTGAACTATATACTGCACCAGTAACAGTAAGTTTACAAGGTACAATGGCGTCATTGGTGTTGATTTGCCACATGATGCCACTTTAATTAATTAATACCCTGCCCAGGCAAAAACAGGTTCCTTTATTCCAGTTTCAGCTATTAATTAACTCTCAGATCAGACATCACTCATCACACAGTAAATTTGTTTTCTCTCTGTCTGGCTGATTACAAAGAGTCAAAGAGGCCTCATCAGAGTTCATGTTTGTTTTTGTTTTTGTTTTGTTTTTTATTTTTGTTTGTTTGCCACTGTCCGCTCCCCTCACTGGTTTCTCTATGTAGCCCTGGCTGTCCTAGAACTCACTTCGTAGACCAGGCTGACCTGAACTCAGCCTGCCTTCCAAGTGCTGGGATTAAAGGCACTACTACACCAGGCTTCGAGAAGTTTTAAAGAAGGCTGAGAAGTAAAACCTGGGAAGCTATATAGGGAAGCAAAGATACTGAGCATGGCTGGAGGGGTGCTGGAGCCCCTGCTGTTACAGACAGGCCACTCCCAGGTTCAGGTTTGAGGGAAAGTAGAAGTAAAGAGATAGAGGCAGGAGAAAGGGTTCAAAGTCATCCGTAGGTACATAGCAAGGTTCAGACCAGCATGGGCCATATTGAGGCCATGCCTTTAATAAACGAAAAGCAGACTAAAGCTATGTGGAGGCTGGTGAGATAGCTCAGTGGGTAAAGACCATTAAACCTGACAACACGAGTTTGATCTCCAGGAGCCATGTAGTTGGAGAGAATCAACTCCCACCAATTGTTTTCTGAATTCTACCTCCCCCATACACACTAATTTAAAAATTTATGTATATGGGCATTTTGCTTGCATGTATATTTGAACAACTTGCATACCTAGTATCCTCAGAGGTTAGAAGGCTGCATCAGATCCCCTGAAATTATAGTTGCAGACAGATGTGAGTTGCTAAACAGTGCTGGGTTTGATCCCAGGGGATGAACACAAAATTGAATATCTGGTTTGAAAAGATTTCCTTCTTGGGGTACATGAAGTGAAACTCACAAAGAACCAAAAAGTTTTTAAAAATAGGAAAAATATTTTTTTTCTAGATTGAGCTGCTTTTACATTCTGCATAGTATCTTGAAACAGTTTTGAATTTTAAGCCAGGCATCGTGATACATGCCTTTAAGACATGCCTTTGAGACAGAGGCAGGCAGATCTCTGTGAGTTCAAGTCCAGCCTGCTCTACATAGTTTTAGGACAGCCAGAGCTACATACTTAGGCCCTGTCTCAAAACAAAAATAAACAAACAAACAAACACCCAAACAAAAAATTTAAATTTTAGGTCTATTCAGTCATGTTTTCTTTTATTGCTTGTAGCTCTTGGTATTGTGTGCATTTCCTTCAGGACTTGAAGGAATTAGTTTATTCAGCCCCCCACCTCAAAAAAAAAGGGTAAATAAAGAGGAAATGTGATAATTGTATAGTTAGGGAGGTGCTTTGGCTAAGAGTAAAGGAATATGATAGGAAATCTTAAAGTCTGAGAAGACTTTCAGTCTGGAAGTGCTGAAGGGAATGAAGGAACACATCTTAAAATGTGCTCAGAATTGTAAAGCACCATGCCTTATTCAAAATTTTATTTGCCATATTATCAATGTTACATTGATAGCCAGATGATGTTCATATATACAATAATTATGAATAAATGTTGGGATGTTGCTCAAAGTCAACTCAGTAATAATCTTGGTACTATATATTGTTCTGACAGATTATATCACAAATTGTTTAACTGAAACAAACTGCTAGTTGATTTTTTTTTATAAATAGAAGACTAAAGATTGATGTATCTCAGATTTTTGTAGTATGTGTTTTTTTTTTATTTTTAAGTTTACCCCTTGTAAATCTTAGTTCAAAACTTATGCCAAAGATAGTGAGATGGCTCAGCACATGCTGCCAAGTCTGACAACCTCATTTGATCTCTGGGGTCCACATGGTAGAAGAAAACTGTGCATATTATCCTCTGACCTTCACATGTGCCTCCTCATAAACAAATAAGTGAATGAATAAATAAATGTAATAAAATACTGTTAAAGCCAAAACAAAAAAATAAAAACTTAAAAAAAAAAAAAAACAAGCCAGGTAGTGATGGCTCATTCCTTTAATCCCAGCACTCGGGAGGCAGAGGCAGGTAGATCTCTGAGTTTGAGGCCAGCCTGGTCTACATAGGGAGTTCCAGACATCCAGGGCTACACAGAGAAACCCTGTCTCGATAAAAACAAAACAACAACAACAACAAAGTTATTCAAACACCTATATGTCATTTATATAATAAAAGAGGATTTGATTTTAATTTGATATGTTATTTTGACTGATTTTCATTCAAATATGAAATCCACCCTATATTCCTTGGATAAACCAACTTGGTCATGATGCATTGTTAATATATTGTATTCAGCTTACTAAAACATCTTACTAGATATTGTGTGTGGTACATGAAGGACACTAGTCTACAGTTTTCTATTCTTTGTAATGGTGTTAGTTTTGATACACGGGTAATGCCAACCTCAGGATGAGTTGGGAAGCAGGCATCATGGTATGCCCTGGTTACTGGAGAGGCTAAGGCATGAGGACCTTAAGATTGAGATAGGCATAGAATATAGTGATACCTATTTTTTTTTTAATTAGGAAATAACCTTTTTGATACTATTTCTTCTCTAAATGTTTGGTGGAGTTGTCAAATGTAAACATCTGAAACTAGAGTTTTTGTTGTGGGAAGCTTTGTAACTACGATTTCAGGTTCTTTCATAAATATAGTTTTATTCAGGTAATTTGTTCTTGGGTGAGTTTGGGTGATTTATATCTTTGAAAGCAATTTTTTTCTGTTTCATCTACATCATTGAATTTGTATGAAGTTGTACAAAATGTTATCTTGAGAATCTGAGATGGTTGTTTAGTTATGTCTCTTTCTATAGCTTAGGCTGGCCTACGTAGTTCTTGAGTTTGTGGCAATCCTGCCTCAGCCTACTAAATGTTAGGATAATGGGTGTGAGCCATTATATCTGGCTCTTGTCTGATCTGATATTGGTAATTTTTGTCTGTAATCATTTTTTTGTATTGTTTCTTTTTTTATTGAATGTTTTATTTACATTTCATATGTTATCCCCTTATCCCATCCCCCCCCCAGCCCAGGAG